CTCAAGAAAATGGGAAAAAAGGGAACACAGGGCATGCAGGATAATTTACCAAATGACAAGTTTGCACAGCAAAGTATGGGCTCTGAGCAGAGAGAAACCATAGTGTAGTAGCGAGGCAAGCCAGAGAGTGCCCCGGGCCTGTCCGTAGACATCCCCTCTGAGAATAACACTCACCATGCCCTTGTGAATAAGTCCCTGGGATTGATGCTTGGGACCTCTGTCACTCGGGCCATAGCTGTGGGACCAGGGCATGTGCCCCAGCCTAGGGAAGCCACCTCGAGGTTCACAGATGACACAAGCAGAGCCAAGAGAAAGGATTCTGCCTAAGAGATTCCTTAAACAAGACTGTGAGCAGCCACAGTACAACCTCCCGAGGGGTCCGCATGCGGCATAAGGAGAGGCGCCTGCAGAGAGCAGAGTGCTGAGGAAGCTAGAGGAAGAAGAAGGTAATTCCTATGGAAAGGTTCATGGCTGCTGGGTGTGGCGTTCTACACCTGTAATCCCAGCACTGTGGGAGGCTGAGGCAGTGGATCACTTGAGGTCAGGAGTTCAAGACCAGCCTGGCCAACATGGTGAAACCCCACCTCTACTAAGAATACAAAAATTAGCCGGGTGTGGTGGCAGGTGCCTGTGTAATCCCACCTACTCAGGACACTGAGCAGGAGAATCACTTGAACCCAGGAGGTAGAGGTTGCAGTGAGCCGAAATCACACCACTGCACTCCAGCCTGGGTGACAGAGCAAGACTCTGTCTTTAAAAAAAAAAAAAAAAGTTAGTGGCTGAGACCCCCATAACAAAAGCCAGGTCAACAAGAGAACAGCATACAAATGTATTTACTATAAATTTCATGTGACACAGGAACCTTCAGAAATAAAGACCCAAAGAAACAGGGGAAACTGTCTTCATGCATAGTCGTGCAGACATGTGATTGGAGGATAAGAGGGTGTGACTTATGCTAATAAACTGGGGGACTTAGCAAGGCCTGTTTATTCAGATTCTTCCTGGGGTCTCTGTAGGACACTCCTTTTCTCCAGGGATAGGGAGGATGCTTCTGGAATGAGGGTCTTATGACCTGCTTTAGAGAAAGATCCGAGAATTCTTCTATGGTCTGCTTCGGGGGAGACAGGCGAGGGGAAGGGGAATGTCGCCTTCCTGCTTCTGCTGTTTTCTTGATGCCAAGGTGCTATATTTTGGGGTGGCAAGTCCTGAACCCTGTTAAAGCCAAGAGCAGTGGCAGAAAGGAAAAGAACAGGCATTGGCCATGCGCAGCAGACCCCATCGGCGAGCACCAGGCCAGAGGTGGGAAAAGCAGCAGCCAGTGTATCCGGCGTTGCCAGCCTGAAATACGGTTTTCACGATCTCATAAAGACAGAACCCTCCCCAGCCCCTGGGACTATATATAGTCCATTCTCCCTCCAGGATCCCCACACACTTCCTCCTGCTCCGTAATTTCCGGGAGCGCTCACATGCAGCGGAAGCTGTCACCTCCGTCCATCAGCCAGCGCCTCTCCCACCTCTCAGGATGCCTGTGCACCATCATGTCACCCTCTCCAGAAGACGCTCTTGTCCCACACGTGGACAGAGTTTTCACTACTCCTATAAACTCAGGTTCTCTTGAACCCACATGCTTTAAACCCAATCTCAGGGGAGGGGACCCTGCCATCCCCCAGCAGGTTTCCATGTGCCAGGGGAAGGATCAGCTCAGCCCCTCCCCACAGAGAGATTTTCAGGTCCTTCCCACACCCCAGAGGCCCCTGTCCCTGATGCTCTGCCTTACAACAGCCTTTTGACAGTGATTGTTATGAAACAGGAGAGCGAACACACCGGCCTGAAGTGTCTGTGTTTGAGATGCTTTCCAAGTCCAAGGCCAGTGCAAGAGTAGCAGTGTGTATTTGTTTAGCGTTGGTTTAACTGCAAAGGCCTGATGACCTTCCAGAAACAAAGAAGTTCCGCTCCAAGGGGACTTTCTGTGTCTGCCGCTAGAAACCGCTAGCAACTGCAGTTCTCCTGCTTAAAGAAAAAAAAACTCCAGTTTCAGTTCACCAAGCATCTGTACAGAGCAGAGATGGTGGTAGCCTAGCACAGAGCAAAGCCTGAGTCACAGGAATGGTGGCAAGCCCGGAGGAGCAGGAGCAGTGTCCCAGGGACCTCTCCAGCCTACCCTGTGAGGCCTGGTCACTCAGCCAAGCTAGGGGGTCACCACCCAAAAGAGGCCCACACAAGCAGTCGGGGAAGCATCAGAGAAGAACCTGAGGTTGGCCAGTGCACCCCATTCATTTCATGTATCAGAAACTGAGCCTCGAGATGGTAAGGACCTTGGCCAAAGACACGTGATCAGACTAGACCCCAACCCTTGACCTGTGAATTTGACTCTTGTCCCATGTTTCCAGTGGAGAGGGGCTTCAGTGCAGCTGGTGAGGGCCACCAGCATTTAGGTCCTCTGACCTGGCCTCTCACCAAGGAGATGGTCACCTCCAGTCCGTTCACCCAGCGGCAGCTCACTGAAGGCCCAGAGGTAACCAGTGTCATAAAGAACTGCCAAAGAAAGGGGCGGGTCATGATCTACTGTGTGCAAGATGCTTTCAGCTTGTGTTCTTCAAAGACCTTGCCTTAGGGTGGGGATCCTAGATGTAGAGCCTGAGACAGGATTCTTGTTCAGGCAGGGAGGGTAAGAATTGTCAGGGAAGGGCTCTAGAGAGGGAGAGTGGCAGGAAGCCGCACAGGGCAGAGACAGAAGCCAACAATGTTCCCCCGGGAGAGGAGATTCAGTCTGATCCCTTTGTGTGGGCAGTCATTTCCCAGGGGCAGCCCCCAGGCTGGGCAGCTGTAGGCCATCAGCAGCCCACACTCACAACCACTGGAAGGTGGCTGGGCTGGGGCTCTGAGAGCATCACAGCAGGTGTCTCCACCATGGGCATGATGAGAAAGGTGAGGCTCAGATGTTAAAGAGGGTTGGGCACAGTGGCTCACGCCTGTAATCCCAGCACTTTGGGAGGCCGAGGTAGGTGAATCGCCTGAGGTCAGGAGTTCAAGACCAGCCTGACCAACATGGCAAAATTCCATCTCTACTGAAAGTACAAAAATTAGCCAGGTGTGGTAGCATGTACCTATAATCCCAGCTACTCGGGAGGCTGAGGTAGGAGAATCACTTGAACCCGGGAGGCAGAGGTTGCAGTGAACCGAGATAGTGCCACTGCACTCCAGCCTGGGTGACAAAGTGAGACTCCACCTCAAAAAAAAAAAAAAAAAAAAAAAAAGTTAAGGAGGCCTTAAGGAGGGTGGAGATGGAAACCGGGAGAGGGTTCCCAGACAGCGGGTGGAAGAGCCATGCTGTGCAAGCCGCCTGCTTCTGTGCCCAGGACTGGCCCTTCTCTTGGTGTTTCCCTCCTGGACTGCGTCTATACTCCAGGAAATTTCTATACAGCCAGGCTGGGCAGGCCAGGTCAGGATGGGCCCTGCTGATGGGTGCGCCAGTCCTGGAGGGTGGGGGTGGCGGTGGCTGGTATCTGGGCCCCGGGACCTTGTCTCTACACCCCAGGAGCTTGCCTAAAAGGAAACCCCGTCATTGTCCTCCCGGCAAGCAGCAGGGCCAATGGAATGTCTGAATCAAAGGCCCTCCTTGAAGGGCAATGGCAAAGTGGCGCTGGGTCTGACAGCAGATGCTGACCGCCTGGGATCTTGCGCACATGCAGTTTCTGATTAGAGTCTGGGGTGGGGATTGCAATTATCGTTAATAACTCCCAGGTGACACCAACGCTGCTGGCCTGGCCTCTCCCTGCACCACCTCCACCCCGTCCCCGTAGCAAGAGTGTGGGTCTGCTGCCTGGAGTCCGTCGACCTGTCTTCTCGTCTCTGGTTTTCCTCTGCTGAACAAAACCTTCCGACTCTCAGCACGTGGACTCTAGGTGCAGCTGAGCCCCCTCGGCCATGGGTGTGCGTGTGACAAGGCCTTTCAGAACCCTGCACTCCCCTGGTCACCGAGACGGGTCTAGTAATGGGCACTAACCCGATTCAGGCCAGCAAGAGTAGGCCCTCCGCTGTCTCAGATCCATTAGAGAAGGACTGAAGCTGCCAGGCAGAAGGCTGAGCTGCCGGCTGCTTCTTCCTGGCTGGGTCCGTGTGACCATCGAGTCACTGTACTTTTCATTTAGACGAGCTCATCATTTCCTTTTTTGAAATCTGAGTTGAACACAGAGCCCTGCCTGATTCACTCCCAACATCACCCACCCATGTTTCAAAGGCACAGTCCCTAAGCTCCTTACTCGCAGGACCCTCCTGGCTGACAGAGGCCATGGAAGAAGTCAGAGTCAGAGGGCGCAGCACAGGGTCATGGTGCCGAAGGGAGCCCACCGCACTCCAGCCAGGCGTTCCATTGACAGGAGGGAAGTTACTTACCCAGGTCTCATGGCCACCTGGCAGCAGGCAGGACAGAGGGTCAGCTGTCCAGAGCGCTCTGCGAGAGGCGGTCTGCAGCCAGGTCCTACTTGGGGGTGGGGGGGCCAAAGAGGGACAGTAGAGTCTCTGTGCTGCGCTGTGCACTTGCATCCTTTACACATCTACTTGTTCGCTCCTCACAGCTCCATAAGGAAGAGAAGCAGGAGGGGGACTAACATCAGGAGGGGTGTGTGTTTGGCTGAGACCTCCCGTTGGAGATGGACCAGCACAGAGGCCTGGTCTCCTGACTCAAGTACTCTTAGCGGTCCACTGCTCAGGCACTGAGGGAACTGTCAGATGCTTCTCAGCAAGTCTGGCCTCACCGTGGGCTGAGCAGGCAGCAAGGGCTGCAGCCCCTATATCTGTTAGTCAGATGCAAAGAGAAGTCACTGTGCAGGTGCCGGAAGCCTACAGCAGCTCATCACTGGGGCTTTCATGTGTGTCTTCTAGGGTCTTTGGTTACCAGGCAACCTTGAAACACAATTCCTCAAGAGATGATGGAGGCAGAGACAGAGGCCACCACCCTGCTCCCCACTAAGCCCCAAATGACCACTCCTTACACTAGCTGATGTCGAGAGAACATTTATTTCACTCAGTCAGCTCCCGCAGGCGTCAGCGACCTGTAGAAATATCCAGGCTGGACGACCACTTCTGTGCACTCCTGCAGAGCCGAGGGGAGGGGTCCCTGATGCTTCCACTGCCCCAAGGAGATAAGAGCCTGAGGCCTCCGACATCCACTTTTGGCCCAGGGGAGCCAGCCCACAGCCCAATAAAAGGCACCCTCGAGTTAACTCACATACCCTCTCCCCATGTGCACTGCCCATTACCGGCCACCGACAAGCTCCGGCGCTCATTGAGGCAGTCGACAAGTGTTTCCTGAGAGTTAGAAGCCCAGTTCGGTGCTAGACCCTGGTAGGGCTCAAGAGGAAATGACAGTCCCTTGCCCTCAGGGAGCTCACTGTCTAGTTGGGGACTCAAAACACACAGGAGACTGGAGCATCTGTGGGACAGCACGCAGTTTGGGGGCGGGGGCTCACACAGGGCCTGTTCGGAGAGGGAAGGATGAATGTGGGCTGGGTTGTTTGGGAAGCCGGGCCCCGTGGATCAGAAGGGCTTAGCTGGGTAGAGAAGAGGAAAGGGGACATATCCGAGCAATACAGGGGAAGGCACAGAGGCAGGAATGAGCACAGCACAGTGATGGGCAGAGGGGGACACAAACTGCACCATTAGCAGAGAAGGAGTGTGTGTGGAGGTTTCCTCTAGGTCAGTCAAGGATCAGAGCCAGATTGGAAGCTCCTGGGGCTGGGAGCACCTTCTTCTCATGCTCGGATCTCCCCCTGAGCATTCCGCTATTCCAGGGTGAGGCATACAGTAGGATGTAAGAATGTATGATCCAAACGGCATCGAAGACAGCAAGACTCCAGTGCAGGAATCCACAGGCTGCCCTCCAACCACCCTGACCCAAACCCATCCCAGCCCTGGTCAGTTTTGCCTTTTCTGATGTTCATTCTGGGGAAGCAAGTGACAACTTGTGGCTTCCAGGCTGACTGGTTCAGGTGTGAAGATGGGAGGAGTCCTCTCCCTGCTGCCAGCCTGGGCCCTGTTCCCTTCAACTGCACTGCTGCACACTCAGAGAACACACAGAAAGCTCCTCCACCGACCTCTCCCCCTGTCCAGAGCCGCAGGCACCAGGAGCGAGGCCCTCATCCTCTTCCTCCCCAGCCCACTGGGTTGAACACTTGGCCAGCTGGGAGGCACCGCTGACTGGGCTTGGTTGGTGGAAGCAGGATTCTTTCTCCCTGGGGCAGACTCAGACCAAACTCAAACTCCCACCAGCGTCCACAGCAGTCCAGCTTCCCCTGAGACCACACAGTGAAATCAGAGCCCAGGCCAGGAGCAAAGGGCTCCTTTGTGGAAGCCAGCGGCCAGTCAGGCAAAACAAGAAACACAAAACCAGAAGAGAAAATCTAGCCCAAGGGACCTCTGCCAATGTCTGGGGAAGGGAAATGAGGTTCCAGAAACCTGATGCATCATTCTTTAGGTCTGGGAGAAGGGACTGACTAAAAAGGTCTCCTCCTCGGAATTCTTTATTCCTGAACAAGGGAAGGAGGCTTGGCCAGGGGGAGGGAGGGGCACTACTTGTACAGCCCCGAGTAGACTCGGGGCTCAATGTGTGACAGGTAAGGAAAGGGCAGCAGGTGAAGTCCTCAGGGCTGAGGAGTCCAGGGATGGGTTTCATTCAGGGAGTCCAGTGGCTCCTGAAATTGCCTGGGGTTTTTGAGTCTATGTCAGTTACCTGTTTTCCTAGGGAAGGTCCATAACCTTCATCAGATTTTCCAAGGGCTTCGTGTCTCCAAAGTGCTAAGAAGCACTGCTCAGAAAGGAAAATGAAGCCTGCAGGTTTCATTCACATCTGGCAGAAGGTTTTGCCTCTAGAACCAGGTCGGCCACCAACTTGCTGTGTTAGCTTAGACCAGTCACTTCCTGTCTCTGAACTCTAGCCAAGTGGTGGACCAGGTGGGAGCAGAGAAGCCAGCTCTCCACACAAGCAACATCCTACCACCAGTGGCAGACAGTGGGGGCCTGTGGCCAGGCAGCCAGGATGAGGTCTGCCCCAGCTGCGATTCCCACCAGGCCTGGGGAATCTGTCCACCAGAGCTTGGAATCTGCCACCAATTCCAGTCTCCAACCAGTCACCTCCACTGGTCACCGCAGTGCACCTCTTGAGGCAGGTCTTCTTACTGGATGTGCCCTCATGCCCAGGTGCAGTGCCAGCCAGGCCCCCACGGCACCCCATTCCTGGTCTCCATGTCCAGATGGGTCCTGCACCTACCGGGTCATAGGATCCTGCCCACTCCGCATCTGTCCACAAAAACAAAGAGATCAGGATCAGGTGTGGTGCCATGACATGGCCCTGCCCAGCCACCCCTCTGGGGCTAGGAGGGAGCGATCAGCTGGCCTACCCTGAATCTGTCCTAGGGCTTGAATGAATGCTCTTTGTCCCCTACCCAGCGCTGCAAGGATTACTAATCCCATTTACAGATGAGACACCTTGGGTTCAGGGCATTTTGGTGACTGACTCCAGGTGTCCCAAGTCCCTGTTTAATTTCATCTTTGCCACCAATGCTAGTCTACAGCACCTGGGAGTAGAAGGGAGAGGACAAACAGTCTCTGAGGAGCCATAGCCACACAGCACCGAGGACAGGCAGAGGGGGGCAGTGGGGAGGGACGAGTCTTCAGCACCCAGCACAGGACTGAACATGCAGGTCCGCTCGAAGACCCAGCTCCCTTCCTCCCAAACCACTCCCAAGGATGCCATGTCCCCTTCAAAAACCCATACCACCCCTGACACCCCTGCCCCAGCTCCTATCACGTGGCCCCAAATCCTCCCTGCTCCATCGTCCACTTTTTAGCAGTGGAGCTAAAAGGTTCTGGGATTCAGAAACCAAAACAAAGGCCTGGTTTCCACCCACTGTACCACTAAGTACCAACTGTGGTGTAGGCAAGCTTGGCAAACCTGTTTCCTCATCTGCCAACAGGCTGAAGAGGCCTGTGCCTCAGAGCGCCAGCTTGGAATCACAGGTCCTGGCTGCCCTCTTTCTCACTGCCAGAACTTGGCCAGGCCTCTTAGCTGGGGGCCTCATGTTCTCTTGCCCCGATGACCCAAGCCCCTCGAGGCTCCAGATCTTCCCACATCGGTCTGCCCTCACAGTGCTGCTGATTCTCCTCCTAAGGCCTAAGTCTGAGATCATAGCACTCATCTCTTTAAAAATCTCAGGGTCCCCGCCCCCTGACCACGAAGTCCTCTGTAGGGCAAACCTCCCCTTGGGACACCTGGAGTCAGTCACCTTGACTGACACCGCCTTGAAAACACCCTTCTACACACTTGCTCTTCCTAGAACAATTTTATTTGTCCCCATGACCTGGTTCAAAGCCATCAAACTCCCCTGGGTGACAAAGAGAAGCCAGTCACCCTTCTCGGTCTCACCCCAGAGCACTTTGTAGGTTGGCCCCACATCACACACCGAGTGTAAGCACCCCGTGACAGGGCCTGCGGTCCTCATGTGTGTCTCTGGGAGAGCCCAGCGTGGCACAGTCAGTGGCACATGGTGTGGCAGAATCAACTAAGGCTCTGTGCACCAGTGACCTCACCCTCTCTCATCCAGTAGCTGCAATATATCCCAGCGAGGAAGAGCCCCTCATCTATATCCCCAACTTACAGATGAGCAAACTGAAACATGAAGTGAAATGACATCTCAAGGACAGCAGAGAGTGTGTACAGGAGCCAGGAGGCCTGGGGGCTGAGGTTGGGCATGGGGATTGTGGAAAGTGGCCCTCTCCAAGTCTCTTTCAACTCTGACATTCTGGGGATGAAGATCCGGTAAGCAGCTTGTCACAGAGAAACCTACAGCCCAGGACCCAGACCGCCCCACCTGCCATCAAGAATTAACACCACCCACCCCATCCCCACCACCCCCAGCCCTGAGAGGGGCTCTGGCCAGCCCCGCAGGTCTCACCTGCTCTAGGCCGGATGGGCCAGAGAAGGAGAACCATGGCAGGAGACCGAAGCAGCTGTGCGCAGCCAGCCAGACGGTCCCGAGGGAGGAACACAAGGGGGCGGCCGGAGCCTGGCGGCGGCCCACACCTTCAAGAGCCCAAGCCAACGCTGCCCCTCTCCCGGGATCCCATCCAGAGAGGGAGCTGCGGCCCAGGGCCATCTCCAGGGGTCGGGGACGCACGTGCGGGGCAGGAAGCAGCAGTCGGCAGCAGGCCCCGGGCGCATCATAGCACGCGTCCTAAGTGGGCCGCCTGGCCCTCGGGCCCGTGGCCGTGGCTGCGCTGATGGGTCTTGAGCGAGCCCTCGCGTGCGAAGCTCTTGCCGCAGCGGGGGCAGAAGTAGGGCCGCCGCTCCCCGAAAACGCCGGGGCGGCGCGGGTGGGGCGCGGGCATGCGCGCGTGGGTGCGCTGGTGGTTGAGCAGGAAGCGCGACTCGCGGAAGCAGCGGCCGCACTGCGCACACTGGTGCGGCTTCTCGCCGCTGTGGATACGCTGGTGCGTGAGCAGGTTCTGCTTGAGACTGAAGCAGCGGCCGCACTCGGGGCAGGGAAAGGGCCGCTCCCCGGTGTGCGTGCGCTGGTGCACCTCGAGGTTGTGCTTGACGCTGAAGGCCTTGCCGCACTCGGGGCACACGAAGGCAGCCGCGCGGCCCGACCCGGCGTGTGCCTTCTGGTGCCGCACCAGGCTGGGCTGCTGCGAGAAGGTCTGGCCGCACAGCAGGCAGCGGTACGGCTGCTCCTCCGCAGGGTGGTGGATGACCAGGCCTCGCTCGTCCCCCAGACCCTCCTCCCCGTCCCCCGCAGGGGACCCGCCCCCGGAGGACGCCAGCTCGGTCATGGGCACTTCCAGCTGCAATCACCAGTCCCTAGGGAGACAGAAGCGGGGAGGGGGGGGGCAGAGAGAGGGGTCGGGGGACCCGAGAGTTAGCCAACCCCCAGCCTCACCTCCCACAACCTCCACCTTTCGCCCCGTTTTGTTTAAGCTCAAGTTCCCCTGCTGGGAATTGGTGTTCTTCCTCCACTGCCTTTTAAGTACGGCCTACACTCCTTTCAGGCCCTTCCCAAGGGCACCTTCTCCTAGAAGCCTTCCCCGACCTTTCCACCCCAGGCTTACACCGTGTGACACAACCATGTGGCCCTCACTCATCACACTGCACAAGGGTCAGTCATGCCACCTCTGTCCCCCGACTCCCAGCACCTTAAGGACAGAGCTGCCTTCTTTGAACCCCAGCACCTAGCACCATGTCAGCCAGCCACACAAGACACTGGACAGATGGTGATGAGTTTCAGTGAGGAGTTTCAGTTTCAGTTTCAGCTAGGATTTTCAGTTACCTTCGTCTAGATATGTCTTATCCCTCCAACCAGATCTCAAGGACAGAGGGAGGTAGGGAAGTGCACCCCAAACTTGGAGAAAAGGGTGGGATTATCAGTGATTTAGAGATATTTTTGCGAAGCTTAAAACAGGAAACAAAAACACAACCCTGTAAACTTGAAAGTGACCTCAGTTAACATTAAAGGCAGCAGCTCTTTGTTTATCAAAATGAGGCATGTGTTCAAAAGGTTTCCAAGTCACTGAACCAGGGTGTGGGCTCCCAGGGGGACTGGTCTCAGCGTGATTCCTCTTGGTATCCTCACAGCAAAGCCTGGCCCAGGGCTGAGCAGCACACTCAGTGCCCAGCCAACACCCCCAAACCCAGCTCCCTTCATGCTGGTTCTCCAAAGGATCCTCTTCCCAGGGTACTGTATTCCTCTTAAATTGTTTCCCATTGTCCTCACAACAGCCCTGAGAAAGGGGCGAAGCAGGGTTATTGAGCCCCACTTTAAAGTTGGGGAAACTGAGGCTCAGTGAGGTCAACATACTTGCCAAGGTCACAGAGCAAGGGGAGCCTGGACTAGGCCTTAAGTCTCCTGCCTCACTGTTGAAAGCTCTTTTCAATGTACTAGCTGCTCAACAACTAAACACTCCTCAAAACACACACACACACACACACCCCACTGCCACCATCCCAGCTGTCACAGAGCCATGCATTCCAAAGGGCCACTTCTCCTGTAGAGGTACTGTCTACCGCCACTACTCCCACGAACCCACCCCACCCCCACCCCCGCAAAACTTGGGCTCCTGCAGAGCCCTAAGGCCTGCCTCATCCATTCTCCCCAACCCCATCAGGGAAGCCGACTGAGTGTTCCACTGAACCTCCCCGAAGGCCTCTCTTCACTTTCAGCCTCAGCCAACCTATCTGCAGAGTGAGGTCTCAGAGCCACCTCCTCTGTCTTCCCTACCCTCGAGGCCAGGGTGGAACTGACACCCTGGGGAAGGAGACAAGTCCTACTTGCAAGAGACCCCACCCACAAGTCTTTTCCACAGGCAACTGCACTGACATTTGCAAAGACAAATCATCAAAGTCCCCTTGGCCAATCTCAGCCTGGCCCTGTGACTGGGCAGCCTCCTCACTCTCCCCAGTTATACCCCTGACTGAGGCCCCGCCTGCACGTCGAGAGGCCCCCCGTCTCTCCCCCAAGTTCTTTCATCCCATGCCACACTCACAGCCCAGCTGAGCCCCTGCTCCTCCGGTCTCCGGCCGCAGCTCTTTTCTCTACAGTCTGTGCTGCTCAACGCAAATACGGTAACTCTCCCGCAGCGACTCCCGTGCCCCTTCTCCCCGCCCCCATAAAGACAGCAAGCCTCCCGCGACGTTGCTTTTATCAAATAGCTGCATTAATCGGGAGAGCTGACCCCACCCCACCCGACCTCAGACACAACCTTGCCAACTTCTGCGGCCTGAGCAACCCTGGAGAAATATGGTAAACTCTGCGTCGCAACCCCACCCCCACGAAAATACGTAGGCCTCCACCCTGCTGCCGCAACCCACCCCGCCCGACTGCAAGCCCCAGCTCCCGGAGGGAATGAATGCAGCCCACCCCCAGTGGCCGCAGCGCCCCCCGCGGAACCACGCAACCCTGGATAAATACGTAATTAAGTCGCGGCGCTCCCACTCCCGGAAAGGACCTGCGCGGGACCCAGCAAATACGGTAGCGCGCCCGCAGTGACCCGCCCTCGAGGGTCCGGCTCTGGCCTCGGTAAATACGGTAACCTCTCGCCGCGGCCCCAGCGCGGCCCCGCGCGGACTCACATGGCGCCGCCTCCCGAGCCCTCCGTCTCCGCTGCAGCGCCGCAGTCGCCGGCGTCGCTGCAGCCGCACAGCAGCCCCGTGAGGCTGGGAGGTCTAACTCTCCGGCAGCCCGGCTGGCGGAAAACGGGGCTGCTAGCGCTGCGCCCGCGCCCGAGCGGCGACCATGCGGGGGCCGGTTCCTGGGCCTGAACGTCCGATCCGCCGATCCAGACATTCCCCGTTTCGGGATTCCCTGAGGCCCGCATTCGGCCTCATCCCTAAATAGGCACCATCCCTATTTTCCTAATCCCAAGGCCAGGCCCACAAACCGCCCCCAGCGACCAGGAAAGAGGGTCGGACGGAGACGCCGGCCTTTCCGCGAGTAATATGGACTGAGCGCCGGAGCCCGGCGGCGGAGCGGCCCGGGGCGAGGGTTTCAAGACTGGAGACAACAGTCAAAGGGGCCGAATCGGGGAGCTGCCCTCGCTGACAGTTTTGCTGAAGTCTGTCTGACTGTATGGCCTGGGTTATATCACTAAGAGTGACCAGAGGGAAAGGAAGAAGACATCTGGTCCCTACTGACCACACCTCCTCAGAACGGAACCCGCAGTCAAGCCAGAGATATCCCATAGAAGAGCAACTTAGAATGTCTGAAGTAGCAGCGGGCGTGAGAGGGCAGAACCAAATTACAACTTCCAGCTGCCATTTAATGATAATGTCCCTTAGTTGGACATAACTTGCCTTTTACAAAGCCCTTTTCCATGTATGATCTCGTGGAAACCTTCCAATAACTATGTGCACCCTAGCTTGTGTGGGTATTAATATTATCCCATTTTATAGATAGGAAAATAAAATTGAAACAGTGGCTTCCTCCAACACCCACAGCTCTAAGTAGCAGAGCCCAGATGGGGACACGGCACCATGACCCAGCTTGAGTTCCACTGCACCGCCCTGGGACTGAGACACTCAGACATAAATAGGGGTGTGACAACAGGGAAGTAAAAACCTGGGCCCCAGTGAGAACGTGCCTGACGGTGTACATTTGACAGACAAAGAAACAGAGGCCTGAGACGAAAAGTGATTTTAAAAGTCACAAGTGGTAGAAGAACATTAAATTGGCTTTTTTCTCTGTGGCCTTTTTGTAGCTGCCAGGTGGAGAAACGTGACTCTCCAAGTCCCAGGCAGGGATCCTTGCAGCAGACAGCGGATGTGGCAGTTGGAGTGGCGCTGTCCCTGATGGAGGGCGCTGAGAGACGCGGGCCTGCCGATATCATGAGGGTCCCCTCTGCAGCTCTGTAGGTGCCCACTGTGCCTTCTGGAGCCTAGGAACTGGAGAATTCCAGGTGGGAGCCCCTAGGCTGTAAAATCAGCCCCTTCCCCCAACACCAGGCGGGGAGGCCAGGCCTGCCTGCTTTCACAGCTCACTCGGAGAACCAGTCTGCCCCACCCGGCCCCACCCGGCCCCACTCGGCCCCACCCGGCCCCACTCGTCTGCTTGTGGCCTCTGGAGAACCCGCTCCTACCCCAACCCCCACCCCATCCCTTCACTGCTCCTGGAGACACCTCACTGCTGGATGTGGGACTTTTGGAGTTCCTCGTCCCAAGGAAATTGGTATTTTAAACAGAGACAACAGGAAGGGAATACTGGAAAGACAAACGAGTCCATAAGGCAGATGTTGAGTTCCCACACATTGACACCAGCACCCCAGGTGCTCATGACCAACCCCACCTGTGCCTCCACTCAAAGCACATCAACACTGCCCTGCTCTCCAGCCCCTGCTGTCACCTGCCAGAGCTCCCAGTGTTCATCTCCTCTGCAGACCATAAGAGAAATGGGGACGCTTGGTGAAGACCATGTTTTTCAAAAGCAAAATCAATAATATGCCTGAGGATGTCTCCCATATTTTTAGCAGCATTTTCTAGGTAAGCTGAACCAAAATAGAAAGGAAAAGAACACAGCTAGGGGATGGGGGTTGACACAGACACAGGCAATACCACCTCAAACCTGCCGTGTCTCAACAGGGAAGCTAAGGCCCAAAGGGCTCCCAGAGGCCTCCATTCTCTGCTCTGCCACTGTAGTTTGAGCTTAGGCACTTCACTTCTGTAGTTTCGTGCACACACACCCCCCTCCTGTCTCCCCCAAGGTTCCCCATCACCCCATTCTTAGGGGCTGCGGTGAGCACGATGGAGTGCCAATATGGAAATACCCTGCAAACACAGCCTTGCTTCATGCTTCCTCATACAGGCAGCGCAGTGGCTGGCACAGGGATCACCACTATCCTGACAGGTCCACGTGGCAGCTGGACTCTGGACCTTAACAAAGACCTGGAACACCCACAACCAAGGCGTCCTGGAGAACAGCAGACCCGGCTCCCGTGTGGGTAGACGCGTAGCTCATGGCTCCTGTAGAGCATGGGTAGACGTGTAGTTCAGGTGAACCCTGTCCCAGACTCTGCACTGTAGTCACTCTGGGGCACAACAGGTGGACAAACAGATCACCCCATGGGCCTACTCAGGGCAGCTCCAGACCCTGCTCCCCTCATCCTCCAGCTCCTCCTGTGGGGCTGCGTCCCCAGGGCTTCCTCACTCAGTAGGGCAACCATCTCCCCCTTGAAAAGCCTCTCCCATCTCCCCAGGACTGGACATCAGTCTGATCTCTCTCTCTAAAGCACCTTATGCTGATCCCAGATTTGGAATTTAGCACACTTTTGTTTTCCCCACCAGGTTATGAACTTCAAAGGGCAGGGACTATTTTAGCGTCTCTGTGTCCCACACATCCAGCGTATAATAGGTCCTCAGTCAATGTCTGTTTAATGAACGTATGCTCCTCTGCAAGCTACTGATAGCTAAGGCTGCGCAGAGAGAAAAGATGGCCCTAAGGGTTTGAAGGAGGAGTGCTGATGCAATGCGAGGAATGAGGAGGTACAGGCAAAGCTGCCGCCCCAGCCACAACTGTGAGGGCTGAGTGGCTCTGCAGAGACCTGGATGAAGATGTGAGGCTCAGCGTGAGGCCTCATCCGCTCCAAAGTTCTCTTTCCTTGGAATTAAAACCCAGTATGTGACCTATGACATCAATTCAAACCCTTAAACTTGCAGCAGGCCTGCTTCACACTGGGGATGGTTAATTCTTTGTGTGGGTTAAGCTAAACAAGGGAAAACCCTTTTTTCCCTTTCCATGGGCACAATTGCTCTGCAAGTAACCACTCTAGTTTATTAAAACAACAATAGCTACCATTTATTGAGTGATTGCTGTGTGCCAGGCACTATACCCCATGCTTTACATAAGTTACTTGCCCAAGGACCTATGGTTTAAATGACAAAGCCAGAATTGAACCCCAGAACTATCTGGCTCTCACCTAGGTGGTGAGCTGAGCGGAGAAGGTGAAGGGAAAAGAAACAATGGTTCTAGTTTCTTATCAATAGGAGTGTCATCCTATCATCCCTGGGGCTGTGCTGCCCAGTAGCTACCTGGGGCTATTTAAATTAATTAAAATTGAATAAAATTCAGTTTCTCAGCCGCACCAGCCACATTTAAATTCTCAATAGCCATATGTGGCTAGTGGCTATGGTCTGGACAGCACAGAAATAGAGCACTGTCATCATCACGAAAAGTTCTCTGTTGAACAGCCCGTTTAGGACACCTCCTCCAAACCCAGTCAACCCAAGACGCTGTTCTCTTTTTAGCCTAAGGGATAACTTAAGGGAGTCCCTCTGTCACTGCCCCTGCCACAATCCAGGAAGAACAGTGATAGTGAGAACACGCTATTTTTGGCCCCAATATTCCTCCTCCTGCCTAAAGGCCAAAGATATTTCTTTACCAAATTCAAACCACTTAAAAATAATAACAAAAGGTTTCAGGAGCATCCCCCACTCCCACCAGTTTCCCTCTGTCAAGTCCCTGAGGGGCCTGTGCTATTGCATGGCTGAGCGGCCGCCTCTGGTCACTGCAGTCTACCCTCTGTCAGGCACCTCCCCTGGGGCTGGGCAGTGGCCTCTCAATGAGGCTGACCACCTTACCGGACGACTTGAAGCACGTGTCCCTTGCCAAAAAACAACCATTTTCTGAGAACTTACACCATTTTTCTTAGCTCCAGACTTGCTCCTAACAAAGAAATACAAGGATGACGTAGGCAGTTCCAGAAGCCCCAACATCACGAAGCTCACCTGGCTCCCCATGCCAGCCACTGCACTGCCTGTACAAAGCAGCGTGGCTGAGTTTGCAGGATGTTTCCACATCTGTGACCACGTGGCCACAGATCCCCACTGCAGACCTGCACTTACCTGGCCTTGGACAGGATACAAAGCTCTGCACTTACGTGGCCATAGACCTGATCTAAATCCTTTTAAGTCTTGATTTGTTTACTCATGGCTGTTTTCTGTTCCCTTGGCAACCACCTTAATCTCAGCATGCTCCAGAGTATTTTGGATTGTAACCCACTAGGATAACAAACCTGACCGTCTTGTCTTGGACTTAATGACAATGCCTCCTCCTAAATATCCTGTGACCCAGGTTTATCATTTTAAAATGAAAGAGAACGAAAACTGAGGAGGACAGTACCACCCCATCCTTGCAGAAGGCTGCAGTGTGACAGCAGAAGCAGCTTGGGCTAACAGGAGGCCTGGGATCTCTGTCAATTTGCAACAGGACCTGGTGGACAGGTCACACTATCCCCACCCCCACCCTCCTTTCCCATGTATTACTGCCCTGCCTGACTCATGGTACGATTAAATGAGATAATGGATTAGAAAGCCTTGCTAAGAGAGCTGGGGCTGGGAACCATTTTTTAAAGAGTTGAACATAAAAAAAAAAAAAAAAAAGAGTTGAACATAAAGGTCCCAAGTCCTGTGCGTATCAAAATGATTTTCCACGAAGGTCCTTGAGCTCTTCAAGGGTAGGGGCTGTGTCATGGGCAGCATCCCAGAATGATGCCTGGCACACAGCAGGCTTGTTTAATGAATGAATGCTGTGAAGTCCCGGCCTGGTCAGTGAGTCATACACCTCAGTCATTCTTTGCCTGAGGGATTTGACCCTGTCCCCTTTGTGACCCAAAGCACCCATTTGTGGGAGGTTCAGTCACCTGGGATCAGCGAGCAGGCATTCTCATGAATTGGTGCTGGAGAAAAAAGCTGCAATTAGGCCTCATTTTTTTAACCCCAAGTCCTACCAGCAAAGCTATTTGACTTTTTTGATCATTAAACAAGCCACTTATGGAAAATAACACGTTCTGTTGTAAAGATGCTCCTGCAGGACTGATCTCGTCAGCATCTGCTCACATGTGCCCTCGGGCACCTGATTCACAGGGACCCAGTGTTTCCACAGATCTGTCCTTGCAGGCAGTGTTTCTCTAACCCAGGAATGAAAGACAGGACTCAGTGAGGCCTGAAGTGGGTGGGCTTGCTCAACGTGATTTCAGAATTTGGCAAGTGGCAGAGAGAAAAAAGCAAATCACTCCTGAACCTCCCCCCTGGTTAAAGCAGGGTTTGAGGAGCTGCAAGGCAGTCAAGCACTCCCTGGTGCAGTGCAGGGTGGAAGGGGAGTTCCAGGAGACAGGCAGGACATGAGAGTCAGGGGAGCCCCTAGGGCTGGTGTCAGGTGGAGGGTGCCCAGGAAAACCCTTCTGGTTTGGTTTCCCGTGGTCCTAAGTGCTGAATGCTCAAGCAGGTGGTAGCAACCCTGGCGTACAACACCCCGTGTGATTTCACACTGCATGGTTTGTGATCAAAGAACTGCTCAGGGATGCAGCAGCCCTGGCCGAGTGCTAACCATCATCGGCACTGTTACCCTGGTAAGCCATAACAGTCAGGGCGGCCCTCCTGGTCCACCCATCACCTTCATATGTCCTTCCGTAGATCTACAACTGGAGTTTTTTCCAGATATAGAGGAGTAAAGAACAGTGACCAGAAGCCAGGCTGAACGGTGGCAGCTCCCAGAAGATAACACTTCCCTGCATACAGAGAAGGATCTGGGCTGTGAGAAGTGGGCAGGTGTACTTCTTCCTTCTCCAGAGCCATGGTGGGGTGGTTTCTTCCTCCTACCTCCCAGCTACCCAACCCTGGCACCCCAACACCCATCACCACCCTCTCCAATTCCCTCCTCTCCTCTGGGAAGATACCATCTGCGGCCACAGCCTGGGCTGGAGCCCTGGGCTCTTCTGTCAGCACCAGGGGCTCAGACAACCCTGCTTTGGAAGTGTGTAAGGGGTGACCTCTTGGGGCAGGAGGCCGAGGAGGGTTTGTGGGAAGAGACACTAAACTGACTTGGAGAGGGGAAGAAGGAAAACACCCCTGGCAAGATCTGGGCATGGGGAGTGCTGTGCTCCTAATCTTGGGCAAATGGATCTCTGAGCACACACAGACCCGGGCTTCAGCTTCAGCCAGGGTGGTTCAGAAAGGCAAGTGAGACCATGTGGAATATTCCATCCATTTTCTCTTCTGCAACACCAGACTGATAAGGATCCAAGCCAGTCAAGTCAGCCAGCCCACTTCAGATATGCCCCAGACAGGAGTGGGAGCAGCGTGTCTGGCTCTCTCCTGCACAGCTACCTCCTCAGGTAGCCAAGCCTCAGCGGAGCCCACCCGGCTCGTGCCTGCCTGACCATCACACGCATACCAGTTCTAGAGTCGGGCCCAACCACACACACACCTTGGGCAGGGGGCAGGCAGGGATGGAGAAGGACATAAAACCACTCACTCCTTCCAAAAATATTTATTGGATTCCTACGACGTGCCAGCTCTGGCCCTAGTGCTGGGAATATGCTTGGCTCTCCCTCGCCACAGCTTCTCGCTTCCATCCTTGGTATCACCGAGTCTTGGCAACTCTCCTACAGGGGCAGCCCCTGGCCATCCTGAAGCGTAGGCAGGACCGGCTGGTGCTGCAGCTGACTAGTCCAGACCTCAGCCACTTCACACCAGGAGACTTTCCCAGCGTCCCCAACAGGCCCTTCACTCGCTGCTTGAAGCCTGGGGTCCAACCTCTGAAGAGGGTGGTCACATCCGGGCCCGCAGTGAGGAACTCGGATCTTCCCTCCTCCTCCTCCCTCAACCCACGCTGGGACCTTTCCCAGCACCCTCTTGGGCCCTTCTAGAACTATTCTCAGCCCTTCAGCGCCTTGAGGAATCTACGGGTCCTGCTATGGGGAGTTCTAAGAGCCAGCAATCCTGGCCACACCCACTCCCCACACACACCCCACAAACATCCCCCGCACCACCACGGGTCCGCTGAGGTCCCGTCCACTAGCGCGCCTCCTCCTTGGGGCTGCACGCAGGGGCCGCGCGATGTACACGCTGGTGCTTGAGCAGGTGCTGCTTCTGGCTGAAGCCACGGCCGCAGGCGGGACACAGGTAGGGCCGCTCGCCTGTGTGGTTGCGCCGGTGCCGCGTCAGATTGGGCTTCTGGCTGA